TGAGCAGGGGTCCCAGATCAGGCCTAACAAAATCACAGGCCATAACTTGGATGACTTCAGGTTATCCACATAAGTTCCCGTTGCAGTTACAGGTGCACCAGTCATCAATTACATACATGTTCCACAAAGGTCATGATGTCTGGTACGTTCTGAGCTTTCCATAGAGACAACAGCTGGTGCGTTGATGCTGTAATGGGGCACTTTGCTGGAGTTTGCTTTTCTGAGTAGGCTCCTTCTGACATCCCTGGCAGAAGAGATGCCCGCTTCAGAGCTAAGAATGTGCTGTGCAGCATTCTTCCATTGAAAAGATTACTTCCCTATCATACAGATATTACTGTGCAAACAGAAGTCTAATTAAAAATGTACTGGTTGGCCTTTATTCAGCATTCAGTTTATATTGTGGGATACTGCCTTATTCAGTTACCAATTTATAACTTAATATTTGTACCTTTATTTTGCAGATAGAAAAAAAATGTCTGCAGTGAACTAATACGTATTTAAGATCTTAGCATACAGCCAGTAAACAACCTTTTCTCTTTTCACACTTTTTCCTTATTCAGGAGTTTTACCTTCCTTTGTAGTTGTATTAATTAAAATATTTTTCATTGACACTGGCCTTTCTCTATAACTTCATTCATTGGAGTGAATGAATATTTTCTTAGGTGCTTTCAAAAAGCAGCAAATCTGAGGGGCTGTCTTAAGAACATGCAAAGTATCTGTCTTAAGACAGTTTTATTTCTCACCCTATTTCATAACTGAATTCTGTAGTTAACGTGGTTCAGCTCTTTCCTCATCGTTCCCTAATTATAGCATCATTTAAGTCTGCCAGAACTAACTTACTGAAGTATTTGGTTTCTTCCCAAAGGTATCAAGTTTCATTAGGGAAAAGGCACATGAACAGTTTCAAATGATAGTTATTTCTCTAAAGGAAGAGTTTTATTCCAGAGCAGATGCATTGATTGGAGTGTGTCCAGAGGTAACAATTAATTATTACCAAATTTTGTTAAATAATACATGCTGGTTTTTGTTGAGTACTGATTTACACCTTCAGTGTTACTATGTAATTGTGTTGCTGGATTTAAACTACTTTGTATTCAAAAATAAGTGCAGGTATTGGCTTGATGAAAAAACAATTTTGGTAACTCAGGCTTGTTGTGTCTCAGTCATTTATGAAATGCTTACTTAACATACCAGGAATGTTTCCAATTGTATGATCCTCCTTCTTTTCAGCATGATGACTTTATGTTCAGTCGAGTACTGACTTTGGATCTCACCAAGTATCCAGACATCAGTGAACAAGAAACAACAGAGAAGCACGCAGAGAGTCCTGTTTCAGAATGAAGTGTGGATGATTTCGGGGCCAGGCGGCAACAGCAGGACCTGTGTTTACAGCTGGCTCTTACAGATCAGAGTTTGAATGTGGCTATTAGAGGTTGACAGAAAAAGTTACCCTTCAAATGAAGCCATTTTCAAAACTATTGAAGGAAGTAGCTGTTATTCATTGATAGAGTTTTGTTAACAAGGAAGAGAGACAGAGGTTGTTACTGAGATGTGTACATTCTGGTGTGCAAAGCTTTCTCTCTAAATGTTTCGGGGATGTTTTGCCTGAAGATGAAGGTTACAGGTTTACATAAGCACACCAGTACAAAGAACAAGCCTCTTGCTTTTCTTATAAAAATTAATGTGTTTACTGTATCTCCAGTACACTGTGAAGGTGCACGCTACCACTGGTCAGGACCTTTACAATCTCTCCCTTGTGTTCCAGCTGCATCCCTTTGCCTTCAGGTAAGATTGTTTCCTGGTTTTTAAAACAAGATAATTGCAATCTGCCTATTATTATATGTGGCTTGTGACACCCAGTAAGACTTCAGTCTTCCAGTGCAGCCTTGCAAAAATATTAGTTTCAGGCTGGTTAGGTTTGTTTTGATGGCCATGCTTCATCTGAGAAGCAAAGTTAATGAAGTTGGTTACAGAACCCTGTTTGAGACAGCTTGAATCACTTCATCTGGCTTAGGTTTCACCTCGGTGTATGCGGAGGAGCTTTATTTGGTTGATGGTTGTTCATAATTCTATCTTATGTTCATGTAGTAGCTTGCTTTTGTCCCCCATGCCGCTTAGACATGGCTACACGCGTGCCTTGTACGGCATTGCTCATACTGTGTGTGTTACACACAACTGTCTGGACACAGGGGGTTACTGCATAAGGAAGGAATGACATGTAAGCAGTAGGTAATGGGTCCCTGTGGGAACATTTTAACAACATAAATGTGTCCACTTACACTGCAGACAGATGTCTAGCCAATACTTCTGTTGCTGCCACACTTTAATAAATAAAGTTATTTACTCTCAGTGTAAATCGTGAATTGGCGTCAGACCCTTAATTCAGAATCCACTGGCAGGTGTGGAAATAATTCCATTAGTGTGAAGGATGAACAGAAGAGCAGCCTATAATGACTTTCAAAGATCTTTGACCCACATCCATCTGTGTATTGCAAAAACATAAGTTTTGTTTTGTTTGTGGTTTTTTTAGCCATTCGCTAGGAACAGTTGGTTGAAAGAAAAGAATACAGTAAAGAATTGGACCAGTCTGAAGAACGGTAAAAGCTATACATCTTAGCTATTATGCAAGAATAATCTACTACTAAAAATATTTTATTAGAAGAGTGTATGCCATCAGAGCTATCAACTTTGTTACACAGCGTGAGCAAAACAGGATCATAAATGATCAACAAATTTGTTTTCAGTAAATACCTTATTCCCCTTAAAAAAAATTCTGAATTATGTAGAAAAAGAACCATCTACTGTGGAATCAGCAACCATCCTTTAACATACCAATGTGTAGGGTTAGTCCTTTCTCAGTACTCGGGTAATAATTTGAACAAGGCCTTAAATAAGTTACTCTCACTTAACAGATAAATGGAACAGACAAGTTTCAGGTTCTGTCCCTTTTGGACTCTATTTTAAACCCTGAGGTAGCTGCAAGGCAATCCCACAACTAAAATATATTCTCAGGGGGGAAGAACCAAAACCAGGCATTTCTACCTTCTTACTGTGTATGCTAGTAATTAAAATAAACCCTTACTCATCTGCTTCTCAGGATACAAATAAATGGCACTTGAGTCAGGGGAGGCTGTTGTGCAAGTTGCAGTTCAGCAGCGTCTACAAAACAGAAGGATCACCCAACACTAGGCTAAGCTGATCCTTACCAGAGGGAAGGGATGTGAATTCCTAATGTGGGTCTGACTTCAGGCACAAGATAAGAAGTTGTATGACTTCTGGGTTGAGCTTGAGTAATTACAGTAATCAGGGACCTAAATTGCTTATCTGATTACTTTTGCTGCAGCTTGAAGCAACAGTAAGTGTTCTAAACTGATGCATCAGCTTCCAAATAAGCATGGCTGATCGCACTGAGTAGAGCCAATTCACACGGAGTAGAAAAGCAAATCCTGGGGGTTAGAGTCTTGCAGGTGATGCTATATGCAACTTTTCAGAAGTGATGTATGCACGACTACATTCTCTCGAGAGGATGAGTACAGTCTAGATGCAGGCTGGTTTTGCTCTTGATTTTTACCTTTCAAAAAACACAGTTTAAACTCTGATAGCTGATACTTGAGGTCCTTAGTCATTATAGCACATACTAACACCCAGTTGTGGTTTCTAGTCTGTCAGTCATGAAAAGACCGCTGGGTGTTTTCCTCTGGGCTAGAAGAGACAAGAGCCAGTGTGTGTGCATGGGTTACCATTACTTTTCTATGCAAAATGCCTTCAGCTCTTCACCTACTACAGAACAGCAACAAAGGCTTCTATACCCCACAACTTCTACCCATCTCGGTAGTTAGTCTAGAAAGAAGCATGCCCCTCTTTCTAAGCTTTTCATTGTGCACGCCCCCATACTAGAGAACAAGCTGAAATTGCTTTTGTGACAGGGTTAGTAAAGAGGTGACAGTACCCCAGTTCAGACAGAGGTCACCTGACAGAGCCATCACCTCCCTCCCTGTCAGCCCTCCTCACAGTTACCTCACAGGGGTAAGGGTGCAAATCCCCAGGGCACGGAAGCAGAGAAACTTGACGGGAGCAATCTTCCAGGACTGCCAGATACAAATGGGCTGCTACCAGAACAAAGAATGGTCCTGACCATGTTCTCCTGCAGACACGGAGGTGAGGCAGCTGACTAGAAAATGCCAGATCACCAGTGCTAGCAACTGGACCAGTAATTATGTCACTTCAGTGCTGAGACAATTCAGTGCTAGGTGAATTGACAGCATCTCAGAAAAACACCGTTAATGCTATACCTACCCTTAATCATTTGAGTAGTTCAACTGAAGTCAAATTTACACACTAGAAATTGTCTACAGATAAATTATTAGTTACTGACTGGTTTTAATTTGGCTGCAGTACGACAATCCCTTCCCTGCTTTCTGAGATAACTGGCAGCATACTCTGAATGAAACAGTATTTAAAATATTTTCAGAGAAATACACACCAAATAGGTACATATGGTATGTCCTTGTTGATACACTACCGTTACATCCTTTTCTCCCCACATCATCTTCATGCCTTAACAGACTGATACATGAAAACAAACCCTCGTGATTAGAAGTGTAAAACAGGCAGGTTGGTATGATGCAGGTTCTGTACGTGTGAAACAACAGTTCCTGCTCCTGACAGCTTAGGGATCCAAATCTGAAGCTTGCAAGCAGCTTTGTGCTGCCTAACTGCGGTTCAGCTGATGAGAAAAGAATAGAAAACCAGTTTAAAGGCAACTAACAGTCTCGGGTATGCCAAAAGGAATTTTTTACAGATTCAAACATCACCTTCTGTTGTAGCTTCACCCTGGTAAGAGCTTGGTCCGAGCGGCTTGAAGCACAGGCAGAGAAAAGTTGCACCTGCTTCTAAATGACCCCACAGATACAGCAGTAGTATGGAAGTGCCTGGAGAGTGACTAGTATGACTCTTGGGCTTTACGTATGTTACATAAATACAGCTCTAAAAAGAAAAGGTGAAGATGCACAATTTTTATTCCACTTAAAACCAGGGAAATAGTCTAAAACTTTCCACGCAGCAGATATAAAACACCTTCTGTTAAAAAGCTTCTGGGTTGTGTTTTGGTTGTTTTTTTCATTAAATAGTGGGTATACCATTATCTGACTGCTTGATTCTCTTAGGAGAGTCAGTGCCATGGTCTCCTAACTTCCTTTTAGCGCAGTCCAAACACGAAGTTCCTGTGGAGGGAGAGGGGGGCAAAAAATCAAATTTAATGTAGCTCCATGTGTGTGCTTTGTATACTTTTTACTGCAAGCACCAAATATTAAGATAAACACAGTAGTGGTTCACTGAGGTTCCTGCATCTGAACTGTAACACTAGCCCTGCTGCAGGTCTGCACCAGTTCAGTGATCATGAACTCTGGCGCTAAGGATCGAAACAGGAAGCAGCTAATGACACAGCAGCCCTTGAAGAAAGGAGTTCTTGATTTTGTGTGACAATACCTGTAGAGCTCAGAGGTGAGAAGCTTCTTTATAAAGTTTGGATCCTTTATTCAAAAGAAAAAAAGTCTTGGTGTGAGCTACTGTTGAAAGTATAAGCAGCACAGCTGGACAATAAAAATAAATGTAAGGGAAATCCTTTCAATATTAGGACATCCATCCCTTAAAACTCCTGACAGATTTTTTGCAGGATATTATGCAAATTTGTGTTGAGGAATAATTATCAATTTTACTTGCTATGTATTCCAAAATACGAGTAAAAGGGTGCTAAAATTACTTGTAAGGAGGGTGCTAAGAAATTAGTAAAAGAGCTTTATATTAAGTGATACCGGAATAAATTATACTCAAGTTTTTGGTTTCGCCACTGATGCCTAATTGTACTTTACTGAAAAAGGGATTTATGAACTCCTCTGAAAGACAGCTAAGCTTAAAACCTAGTCAGAATTACAAAAGAAACCTCTGACTTTACACCTGACAACAAGTATCACGGACCTTGCATACTTTCTGATTGTGGAAAAAAAAAGGGGGCGGGGGGGAGGCTGGGTAATCTGCAGTGCCAAAGACTCTTCTATGCAATAATGAAATTAAACTTTTGTACAATTTTAATACTATTTGCGGCAGCAGCAGAAATATCTTAGAAGCGTAATCTTTTTAAGTGTTATTTCAAAAGGAAGTTTTGCTATTTTATACCAGAAATTGGAATCTATTATTGCTCTGCTTGTTCACAGAAGTATCACAAAGATACCTGAACAACGCTTAGCCAAATATTCACCTTCAGTTCTACATGCTTAAGCTCGCGATTCACTGTCGTATACCTTCTTAAAGAAGGCATTCAAAATATCCAAATGTGTTTGAAAAGTTAAGTCAAGACCTCATGGATGTTAACATTACCTTAGAACACTCTGATCAGCATTAATAGTTTTTTATATACATTTTCTGGAGCTTTTCCATTCTGTCATTTTATTGACAGCTGAAAGCCAGCAGTTACCTGCTAATATGGACAAAGAAGAGAAGAGGGTAAAAAGAGAAATGCTAAGCAGGCTTCCGGAGTTAAGTTGGAGCACCACACAATAATACTTTAATTATTTAGTAAATAAGAGACTATTTTTATCTGATAGATTATGCAACTTTCTGTGAAAATAAGAACATTACTTACCCAACAGTGTTGTGCTGTCCACTCGATCAGCATCTAGAGAAGCGTAAGAGACAGCAACAGTTCAAGTTAGCATCCAGAAAGTTTTTGTACTCTTATGCAACATCCCAAAACGTCAAGGTTCTATTTATAATCCTAGCATGGTTTGGGTTGGAAGGGACCTTAAAGACCATCCAGTTCCACCCCCCCTGCCCTGGGCAGGGCCCCCTTCCCCCAGCCCAGGGGGCTCCCAGCCACGTCCAACCTGGCCTTGAACCCTTCCAGGGAGGGGGCAGCCACAGCTGCTCTGGGCACCCTCTGCCAGCGCCTCACCGCCCACACAGGGAAGAATTTCTTCCCTAGATCTATTCTGAATCTCCCCTCTTTCAGTTTAAAACCATTACCCCTTGTCTTATCCTGACATTCCCTGATCAAGAGTCCCTCCCCACCTTTCCTGTAGGCTGCCTTTAAGCACTGGAAAGCTGCTAGATTTCCCTGGAGCCTTCCCTTCTCCAGGCTGCACAACCTCAACTCTCTCAGCCTGGCCTCCCAGGGGAGCTGCTCCAGCCCCCTGAGCATCTTCGTGGCCTCCTCTGGACCCGCTTGAGCAGGTCCATGTCCTTCTTATACTGGGGACCCCAGAGCTGGACACAGTACTCCAGGTGGGGTCTCACGAGAGCAGAGGGGGAGAATCCCCTCCCTCGCCTGCCGGCCACACTTCTCTCGATGCAGCCCAGGACACAGTTGGCTTTCTGGGCTGGGAGCGCACATTGCTGGCTCACGGTCAGTTTTCCACCCACCGACACCCCCAGGTCCTTCTCCGCAGGGCTGCTCTCAATCCTCTCATGGCCCAGCCTGGATTTGTGCTGGGGATTGCCCCGACCCGTGGGCAGGACCTTGCACTTGGCCCTGTTGAACTTCGTGCAGTTCACACGGGCCCCCCTCTCCAGCCTGCCCAGGTCCCTCTGGATGCCATCCCTGCCCCCCAGCGTGTCGACCGCACCACACAGCTCCGTGTTGTCGGCAAACCTGGTGAGGGTGCTCTCAATCCCACTGTCCCTGTCACCAAAGATGTTAAATACTGGTCCCAGCACAGACCCTGGAGGGACACCGCTCATCACCGCTCTCCACGTGGACATTGAGCCATTAACCGCGACTCTTCTGAGTGCAGCCATTCACCCAACTCCTTACCCTCCAAGCGGTCCATCCATCAAACCCAAGTCTCTCCAATTTAGAGAGAAGTATGTTGTGCGGGTCAGTGTCAAGTGCTTTGCACAAGTCCAGGCAGATGACATCAGTCGCTTTTCCCTTACCCACCCATGCTGGAACCCTGTCACCAGCCATGACTTGTCAGGCATGATTTGCCCTTGATGAAGCCATGCTGGCTGTCACCAATCACCTGTCTTCCGTGTTCCTCAGCAGTGTCCAGGATTGATCTTGCTGTGCACAGACACATGACTGACTGGACTGTAGTTCCCCAAGTCTTCCTTTTTTCCCTTTTTAGAAGTGGGGGTTACGTTTCCCTTTTTCTAGTTACTGGGAGCTTCCCCAGTCTACCATGACTTTTCAAATAATATGGATAGTGGCTTAACCACTTCATCTGCTTCATCTGTAGACTGAGAATTCCACTAGGTCATGATTGCTGCAGCCCAGGCTACCTCCACCCTAGACCTCTGATAGTGAGCAGCAGGTCCAGCAGTGCCTCTCCTCTGGTCGGGTGCCTGTACTAAGAAGCTGTCCTCAACGCACTCCGCTACTTTCCTGGACTGCCTGCCTGTGCTGCTTTTCCAGCAGAGATCCAGGTGGCTGAAGTCCCCTACCAGGATCAGGGCCCGCATTTCTCATTTCTTTCAGATAACCCTTCTAACAAACTCCACCTGGTATTTTTTAAAAGGCAGTTCGTAAATAAGCCTGAAAAAAATGAAACCTGACAGTTTGGTAACATAAGGAGCAGTTACGAACGTTTGAAAGCAGTTTGTTTGACTTGTAAATGAGATCAACAAGATTCTGAAGTCAGAGTAAGGTCCCTCTTCTTGCAAGTATTATGCCAATCAGTAATTCCACTGAACGAAAAGGGGAGCATTATGGTCTGATTTTGCAGTCATTTAGAGCTTATGTAAATGTATCTTCCACTCTGTTTTGCTATCAATGGCTGCTTTGCAATAAATTGGATGCGCCAGACTCAACAGATTATGAAAAGTATGTCCATCACATCCATCAACAGCAGTACGTCAAGCACAAACTAGCAGGCTGAGGCTAGTTCAGTGTCTGAAATTGCACTCCAACTTACTTTTACGTGTCTCCACTGCAGACAAACTTCCTGAAACCTAGATGCTGTGCTGTGTATTTTTTCTAGCCTTCATGGAAAGAAAAATGTAATCCAGTCTAAATATAACATTCATCTATTTACAAAACCCATTACGTAATCTGGGCGTACACCTCCAATTTTCTTTTAGGGAGGGCAAGGGGAAGGTTCCTGCTATGCACCACTTGGGAATAATTTTAGACAAAACAGTTTCACTGGCATGATAAATAGAAGAACTGTGAAACAGTATTCTGGTCATTTACTCTAGTTATTTTCCTCAATTCTCTGGATAAGCCATAGCAGAACTATCCTTGTTTGGAAAACATTCAAGAAATCTCTTTCCTTCAACATATACTTGTTGGGTTTCCCTGGTTTTGTATTAAAAGCTCTCCATTCTTACATTTAAGGGATTTTATGAGTTGAGGGACAACAGGATGGAAGGGAGTAGCGGGGGGAAAAGTAGGTGAAGGGATGTCAGTAAAATTTAGCTCCCCATCCATGCAGGACTTTTACCTTCAGCAAAGGTATCAAGCTATTTCCCATTTTAGCATTAAGTGCCCTGTACAGAATTCCATTCACTGTCACAAATGGAGCATTATTCCACAGCCTCTTCCATTTTATTACCATAAAACATTATCCTCACACTCGGGTTTTCTCCCTATTTGCCCTAACTCTGTTAGGCCAAACACTATTGCGTGTACTGATTTAATTTCCCATTCTATGCTTCATTAAATACTGTGGCTCAACCAGCTCATCCCACCAGTTAATTCCTTCAATTCTTTTAGTCTCTTTTACTCACATGTCATATTTCATATAATGTAATAACATATTAAAGTAGTTCATGCCAAAAAAGTACACAAAACAAACATCTTAACCAAATGCTAACAAAAAGACAAATTCAGAATTAAACATGAAATTTGAAAGGGTGCCCAGACCTTACAGAAAGAAATCTGGTTACAACTTTGTCATGTGTTCCAACTCCTCATGCCATTCATAAGCAGTGATGCTGCCCAGGCCTACTGCTAGCTACGCACGGGGTCAAGACCTCAGAGCAGCAGCTGATTGTTCAGACATGGCATCCTGCTATGTGCTTACCCAAAATTTTCTTATTAAAGAAGATACATTACCTGGACTTCTCTGCTTGCAGATTTGAGCAGCCAGATCTTGTACGTACTCTGGGAATTGGTTAAAGCAGTCCCCATAGGACACTACTTTTATTCCGTGCAGCAGCATATCTGCCTGGAGTTTAAAAAAGTGGTCTTCATTTTCTTTAAGCACCAACATATAATGTTCTAAATCCACTTTATTCTTTACAGTATAAAGAAAAAGAGCTTGGAATATCTGATCACGCAGAGTCTCTCCACAGCCCAAAAACAAAAAAGACTTGGTTCGATACAAATTTTGAAGAACTCCCTGTTAAGAAATAAACACACAAGGACTATATATACTTCAGTAGTCAAAAGGCCACGGTAAGAACTTCTAAAATATGTCATACTTAAAAGGAGAAGCAGAACAATCACTATTGAACTGAATAAAACACACGTTTTAGGATCAGGTCAAGCTGACATTTCCTAAGTGCTGTTTCTATGAAAAAATTATATTCAAAATCAAAGTTATGACACAAAATTAAGTACACGCATAAATATTTCCAGTAAGGGATTTTAGATTGAAATAATGATGATGATTGACCTAATGGGTCGATCTGTAAATAAGGAAAATTAACATTCCTGACCAAATGTTTGACTTCTTAGGTATAAGATACCACATTAAGTCCAGGATCCAAAGCTGGCAACAGCTTAAGCCCCAAAAAAATTAACCCAAGCAACCAGATGGTGATGAATCCCTGTTGTGGTGTCTGGTATTTTGGGGCTAATGTTCTTTCATTAGATAAATAAAACGAACTCTAAAACTATGACATACAGCTGAGGGGTTTGGCTGTGATTTACAAAGAAGCAGCGTACAAGAACATGTATGTTGCCCTAGCAACACAGCTGGCTTCCTGAATAGTGTTTTTCTGGGCCCCAATTATTTAATCTATGTGATCTGACAAAACCCTAGCCTTAGGTAACAGGTACATAGTGATTACTATAAAATAGTTTGGCAAAATGTAGTAAAAATTTTGAAGATCACACAAACCATGACTTCAGGATCTTGAGTAACATCTTTATATCCCGAGGGATCTAGCACCATTCCACAGGGATCTGTATATAAGCCATGAATATGAAGAACTCCGTATTTTATATGACCTCTTGCCCACTGAAGAACCTAAAGCAAATCACGCATGTTACATTCTTTTGCTATAATATACTACAACAACTGAGATTCTGCAAAAATATATAGCTGTCCTAACTTATAAAACCACTTAAGCCAGAATTAACTTCTTTTGTGCTTTTCTGCAGCAAGAGATAATTTTAATTACTAATTACACAGCTTGCTTTAAATTATAATGAAGAGGTGATCACTGATACTGAAGGTACCTCTGGCTTTTTGGTCTAAACAAGTATTCAACTAGAGAGCAAGTTCCAGCAATGCTGACAGAAAAGATACGAACAGCAAATTAACTACCAGTTAGGTGAAATCATATTTGTAGCAACTACTACTTATAAATTAAGTAAATTTGTGGGTTTTTTCCAGGGATTAGGAGGGAATTGGTTAATAAATGTGTCCCTGAAATTCTCTTTGCTGTTACCAGATAACTCAGACTAAAAAGACATGGAAAATAAATGTCCATGCAACTGCTATTAGCTTATAGATATGCTTTACCAAGGAAGAAGTTTTAGCCTTGACACTCTTTAAACAGGAAAACATCTTTCAATGAAGCTTACAAGCTGCCTTCTCTTATAAGAAGTCTTAAACTTTTACTGCTCTCATCATACCTTATCCTTATCTTTCAAGTCTAAAGATTCCATAGGTTTACCCTGTTGCTGACCAAATATTTCAAGTAAATTATCATAGTTTGTAGTCAGAACCATCGTGCCTCTCTCCATGAGTCTCAGGATTGACTGCAAAACAACAGGATTCTGAATGTGTTGTTCTAAATTATCAAACACCTCCATTAAGCAATCCTGGAAGAAGTTGGGCTTTGTATCCCCAGTACGCTGAAGAAAAAAAAAAAAAGATGAACGCTTCATAAGGACCACGTGCCTCCAACAGAAAACCCATATCATTTGTCTACCTAATGCCAAAGCATTTATTTAAAAGAGGGCTTACACAATATACTAAGCATAAAAGTCTGAATGTACAAAACCTTCAAAAACAATCTCAAATTATTCAGGTGCTCTTGCCTCCACTTAATGTAGCTCAAAATAATAATCCGGTTTTCTCAAGGAAGCTTGTAATACAGGTGCAATAAAAGAAAACTGGTTTGCTACAGTTAAATCCCCACTTGTCATTTCTAAACAAACATGAAGGTAGGCTTTCCTAAAAGCACAGGCTGCCTCTGCCCAGAGTATTTGCTGAGACTGGCGGGAACATGTAACAATTCTGTAAAATATACAGGCTTCCTACTCAAGAAATTGTATTACACACAGAACAAACGTGCGTTTCTAAGGCCAACAGAGTTACTGGCCTAACCACCTGGAAACCTTACCTTTCTCGGTATGCTTTTACTGCTTGGAACATCAGTTAGTGTACTAAAATTATCATTCCCTGAATTCAGTCTGAGATGTAATATTAAAGGGGGATTTTTGGTTTGTGTTGGGTTTTTTCCTTCCTGGTTGAGAAAAATGTGTTACTCCTTAAATGTGCTGCAAAGCCTAACCACACGTGCAGGCTGCTACCAAAAGAGAGAGGCTATTACTACATTTTGCCTGTAGAGGAGTTCACCACGCATTGCAAAACGCTCAACACTTCCTACAGCTTAGCAGTATGTATGTCACCCTAATTATTTCAACTAGAAGACTTGGCAAGCCTATTAACACAATCTGAAAATCTCTGGAACCTAAGACAAACAGCCGAGAAACTGGGCATGTATGGGCTGTCCTCAGCAAAGTGTGAGCTGCAGTGGTGATTCAGTCTGTGTGAGCCAAGGCTGTCGGTAGGGTCAAGGACTCCCTGTATTTTCAGGGTATCTCTAGTTTTAGCCAGCAGAGCTATAAATTCCTCTTTTAGTTCCAAGAAACATTGTGGTGAATATTTAATAGTGAGGGCTCTTGCTTGTATTAGTTACGACAAAAGCTAACTTACATTAAAAAGAAAGTATTTTTCAGCCTCTCCAAAACATACAGTGTACTATATGATTACCATAGAAATTTAAATTTTTACCAGAAAAATTTCAAGTTTTATAAAACTGAAAAGAATTTTTGTTGATAACAAAATTATGTAATAATTTTAGAAATCAGCAGAAGTTATAAACATACTCACTGGTGACATTTTCCTGATGAGATCATGTGCAACCACAAGCAGGTCTCTATCTTTGATTACTTTTTTGCGAAATTCAGCAACATCTCCTGGATGCAGCACCTCCAGCTGTTCGGCTGCTTCAATTACAGCCTCAATGCAGCTTCGCCAGGAGCACAGCGCTGGGATTCCTGGTGCTACTGCAGCACTTACCCCAGTTCCAATCACAAGAAGAAGGTCCCGAGGCTGCTTTCTTATTAGACTTTTTAGGAATTTCCTTTAAAACAGAAAAAAAAACAACTTCATTTTTTTACGGCACATTTTCTAACTTGCCTGAAGATCTCATGACTGACCCAAGAAGTCCATATGAACTATTAACACCTGTACAAAATACTAACCAACCAAAAGGAACTGATTTCTCCACTTCTACACATAAGAATGGTACTGGCAGCAGTTCACAGCCTCCCTCAAACCAACAGTGTACTTTAAGTCTTTTTGTCATTTTAGACAAGTGTGCATAATTAATTTAAGCCATTGGTTGGCAACATCTTCCAATCACTAATGTCTTTGAGATACAAATTGACAGTTACCAATTTTCAGTCCACTAGGCTAGACAAACGCCATTCCAAATGAAATTTTGAAAAAAGTAGTCAAAGGACTATCCAATTATTTACTTAACCCATGTTTGATAGAAGGTAAGAAGAACTATTTCAAAGGGACAAGTCACAATATTTTAAAGAAACATAACTTTGCTTTTCTGGGAAAAAGCAGTATCTTTTATTCTCACTTTAGATACATTATCACACGAACACAGTTATGCTTGTTCAGATCAAGGGTTCATCTAGCCCACTATTCAGATGTTACTAACCACAGATTACTCTCAAAGGAGTATCTGGTTCTACCTCAGCATTCACTGTGCAAGCCAGCACAAGAAACCATCGAGAAAGTCTGGCTTTCAAGACTACTTTGCAAAGAATCTAAGATGCATTTAAACCATGCAGTGAAATCACCGCATACGAACAAGGATTTCAGTAATACAGAACCTTAAAACACCCCTGACTTTCAAAACTGCCTTTACAGATTTTAAAATTCTGTCAATCTAGTAATATGGATGTTTAACACCTCTTATTTCACAATCATCTGAAATTATCTAGCTAAAACTATAATATTTAACCTGAAACGGCCTCAGGTGAAGCAATTAATAAGCATGCAGAGAATGCTGCTAGCTAATGCCTACAAAGAGTATGTTGTTGATAATTCCTGTGCCTTCCTGCTACATTCAGCACAAACTGCTCCCCCTCAACAAGTATATTATTTGTTCCTCACAAACAGCTTCACTGAGTATGAAGCACTCGGGTCAGTGGAAAAACTAGTTTCTGGGATCATTTCAAGTTTAAGCATGATGTTGTTCCTGTATCCAATTTTCACAAATGTATTTCCACTGTGTTTTCAGGTTTTCATTAAGACGGTTTTGTATAACCTTTACAACACAAATTACCTGGATTTCTGCTCACTTCTAATTGTTGATCGTTCTGATGAATCCATCTCTGAGCCCTAAGTAAAACAAAAAGAATTAATGTTTCTGCCTTTAAAAAGGCCAAAATTAAAACCAGATGTATTGCTGTTAGCATTTTCTATTTATTTTTTATCAAGTATTTTAAAATCAAGACTCTGTATGTCACATCCCAGTTAAGCAACGCACTGATAGAAACAAAACTGACAAATTGTGAGTGTGTGAACTTACCACAGCTCCCTTTAAGCTCAGTTAATTGGCATTTTGAATTTAACAGAGATATGGCTATTCATGCAGCTGAAAAATAATTGTGCCTAAATTCAAGATAAAGTTTATCATGCCCACTAAAACATTAATTCATTTCAAGCAAATAAGTGCATTTCTTCAATTTCTTTTTTTTTTCATAATAATCAGTCGATTCAACCAAGTTGGTGGAAACCAGACTTCTGCAACAGATGATCTTGAGAGGCCCTCTGCCAGCTGCCTGGCTACTCTTATAGACCATATAACATGAAATATTTTTTTTCTCAGCAAGTATTTTAAATGAAAAAACTTATTTCTGCGTCATCTATATTGTCTCATGTCTAAAGTATAAGAAGGACTGCAACTTGGCAAGAGAATTTGGCTACAATATCATCACTTAGAAATCCTCAAATTTCATTACATTAATTTTTGGTTTTGTTTTTATAAGGATGTATTTTTTGTTTGGCTTTGAAATGCTTCTTAGTTTGTGGTTGTTAAGACTGCAGACCTCAGACCCTAATCCCTCAAATAAGCATTCTGCCAGACCCTATGGCTCATAAGGCTACTTGCCAGCTCTCAGGTTCACATGCTGGAAGCTAATTTGGAAGCAAGAGGCCTAAATTTAGAGATCACATGACCTAAAAAACCAAACCAAACCAACCAACCAACAATACCCACGACCAAAACACCCCACCCTATGATAGAAGGACATCAATACATCAGCATTTCAGAGGAAAACACGCAGATGTCTTCTGCAAATGCACCCAGGAAGTCTTTTCAAGTGGAAAAATCTTTTCATGTAATAGTTAGTTTTCTCCATGCTCCCTTCCTTCACTGTCAGTGCCCTGCAAAATGGTACACTGTCACTCGAAGAACATTTGCACATTCAAAACTCAGAACAATAATCTATCTATAGCAAAACTTCCCGAAATCTAGAGAACAAGATTCCTTTATATATGGAAAAGCTGAGTTCATATTGCAGAAACACCACATGAAGGAAGTGCAACTCATTTATTCTGAAAAAGACTGTATTATTTTATAACCCCATTCAGTGAAGTACTGGGAAAAGCATCTCACCACAGGATGCTGTCAGTACCAACAATTTAGACCTCATTGTTTCTTTTTATCCCTTAGAGTTGCCTCCTGGATGCAGGAGCTGTGCAAATAAGTTGCAGCAATTATCGTCAACCTGTAATGCAGCTAAATAATAAAATTTGTCCGTGCCATGGAGAACTGTGTAATTGTGACTAGTCTTGCATATTCTCTTACTAGATGTAATAAACACCTCTTCATTGAGCATACCCAGAAAAACAAGAGGACCTGGGCACCAGCATTCAAGGCTCGTTTACTTTTAAAAAGACACATTGGACTAACCAAAGGCGTGCACAGTCGCTTTTCAACAACCTCTCCTCATGGCAGGGACCCCAGTATAATCCAGCTATGCCTGCAAGCAGTGAATGGGAGCTGGGTCTTTACTCCAAACACACGGAAGGTTCATCAGAACAAATTCTAATTTCGTATTTTCTTCCTGTTCAATAAAGTATGTTTTACTTAAAGATCTATCCGTGAAACAGGAGCTCCATTCACTGACTGAAACTTCCAAGTCATCCCCCTGATTGAACCAAACGATTTTTCCAGACAGTTCAATCTACGAAAACAACTTTAAATATTTAACGCAAAGGAAGCACCGGGCAAAGCAAAACCTCCTTCCCCTCCCCAGCCGGCGCGCCCGCTGGAAAAAAAAAAACAAAAACAAAAAACAAAAACAAAAACAAAAACAAAAACAAAAAAAAAAAAAAAAAACAAACAAAAAACAAACAAAAAAAAAAAAACCAGGAGCATCATTTCTGCCGGGTTAAGGTCCCCGTCTCCCTCCGGTAACTGACCCGTCACTCGACACGGCACACGGCGGGCACGGCGAGAGCACAGCGGCCGCCGGCACCTCACCGGCGAGCCGAGGGCAGCCGCTCCCCCAGACACGCCCGCGCCCCACCGGCCACCTGCGGGACCCAAGGGAGATGAGGATGAGGATGATAATGAGATGATGATGATGATGATGATGATGATGGCGGCGGCACCAGCCCCCCGCCCGGGCTCCGGCGCCGTTACCTCATGGGCGCGGCCTCGCTCTGCCTCGCCCCGCCGGGGCGGGGCCAGCGGCACGAGGCTGCCCTCGCCGGCGGGGCCGTCCCCTCACCGGAGCTTTCCCCCGCCGGCTGGGAAACAGCCGCCCGGGCAGCTACGGTCCGCTTGAGAAGGGTTCCCGCCCGGGCGGGTCGGCTGAGGCAGCCCCAGCGGGGCGGCCTCTGCCCGCGTTAAAATCTGCTTGAAGAACGCGAACCGTTTCATTCGAAGCCGTGCCGGCGGCCGGGCGGCAGCGGGGGAGCTGCGGGTGTCCCGCCCCGGGCAAGCGAGGCGGTGCCGGGCCAGCCGGCTCGCGCGCGCCGGCGCCGGCGCCGCCCCTGGCTCACGAAATGGCGGCGGAGGGTGTCCCCGCAGCCCCGGGAGCGCTCGGAAGTCTTTGCAGGGAAAAAAAATACAAATCAGCAGCCTGCGAGTCCGTGTGAAATAAAAGAATCAATTCTCAGTTACAGGAGAAAGTAAACTTAGAAAGTAAAACTTAGTAAACTGGTAAACGTAAAAGATTAGCGGGGTTGGTGCTACAAAAACTTACAGACGGTAGAAGTCTTGAAGATGAAATATTACCGTGAGGAGAAAGCAAAGCAAAGCAAACCAGCAAAAAAGAGATGGGTGGAGCTACCTGCCCTGGCCCCACCGGAGCCGAGGCTCCCCGCGGCCACGGCCCAGCTGCAGTCAGTGGCCAAAGCTCTCCTCTTCTGCAAATTCCCCCTTTTTTACTTTTTTTTTCTTTTTTTTTTTAATCTCTTAAAGCCAAAGCCTAAATACACAAAGGTCCTTCGCCATGGTTTATTAAGGCGTGTGATTAAGAATACTTAGATCAGTTCCGCCATATCCTCTAACAGCGGTGCCCAGCTTTCTCCGCAGCGCTGTGGGCTTCGTGAGACGACTGCGGGAAGGAGTCGTCTGAGCGTGGAAACCAGGCAGGCAGATGTGTAAAGGCTGCTAGTTGTGCCTGAGGGTACTGGTGCAGAACCGTACCCCCAAACTCCAGTTGTAAAACTGTGTTGAAAATGCAACATTCTCCAATTTTAATTTCTTAACTGGAGTTTTCAAAACTACTCATGGCACCATTTTATGGATTTATGATGGCTTGAAGTACTGGTTGGCATAAGTTCCCCAAATATAGGTCTTAGAAGATTTTGTTTCTCTAGTCAGTCACTTCTGTTGTTTTGGGGTACACCAAATCAGGATTCACAGGTTTTACATGCCTATATGATAGATTTGACTGTTTTCTTTTGTTCATGAACTGTCAGTGTTGTATTGATATTTTGGGATAGTTTTAGGAAGAATGTTGGCAAGGATGGCCAGTTTGCAGCTGAAACATAAACCCACTGTTTTTACTCCATATCTGCTGTTACTTTTGGCAAGAATACTTGTGTTGAATGCTCTGACTTCACTAACCTTCAATTTTCATAGGAACAGTGTCCTTGTGAACTGTCCATGTAATATTCCCTAGACATCACTTCTCACTTTGTCATTTTTTTATATTACTATATTGCAGTGTCCCTAGAAAGGCTTAACAAACATTTGGAGAATCATGCTCATAGCAATAAGGAAGATGATGGATAGGATCAGAGAGAACAGGAAGGGAGAAGAAAGAATGTAATTACAGTCTCACCTGAAAACTGAAGTTTGCCTGAATTAGAGCAGCTCTGCAATGCTTCTAGTTCTTTGCCTTTCACCCGTTGCTACTGCCAGTGAGTCAGCAAGGTATTTTAACGTGGTGATATTCAGTAAACCTGAAGGTTAAAGATCTTGTGTTTTAAAAGAACCAGGTGATATTCTTCTCCCTAAACCCCAGTGACTATGAGTGAAATCCAGCTTGGAATACCATTTGACACTGCATTGTAACAACAATGGAATGTATTACTAAATAATTTGCTGAATCTGAGAATATTTTGTCAGCTGTAGATAGGAGTCACAAAGACTTGCTAAATATTTTCATGAGCTTGAGACTCAATGTCAGACCCATTTTAGAGATTTACAATACCTAATATTCTTCTTTGGTTTACATTGATTTAAAAAGTAATAATGAGAGGAAATATTTGTGAAGAAAGGCCCTTGAAAGCTTCTCCATTTTTCAGTCTGAATCAATCTGATAAATGTTATTACTTTCTCCTGTAAGTCTTGCTCCTTTTATATCCTTAGACTACAATATCATAAGCTCTGTTTTCCCTTGCAAGGGGGTAGGAAACTCACTAAAGACAAAGAATATCAATACTTTCCAATCAGATACGGTACAAAAGTAACCATTTAAATACAATCATAAGGAGGTTTAGTATACTTTTCCAGATGTACAACAAGAGGTAACAGTGTATTATTTTCTATTATATTTCCTTGTTATTTGAAATGTATATGGCAGAGAGAAGCAAACGCTGTGACAAGAAAATTTGCATAAATTTCAATAGAAAAAGTCACAGTGAGAAGATGCTGACGTGTGTTGAAACCTGTCTGCAAGCTTTGAAATAGGAGTTTCTCTCAAGAAGCAACAAAGAAAGGAAAGTACTGTTGCTACAATTGAGAAAATCTGAGAGGTGAAACACATACTTCAAATAAAATAACTACAGAAGCTTACCACTTGCTTCCACCCAAGATTTATCTCTCATAGCAAATTCATATGTGTGTCCAAGCGTACCAAACAACATGTTAATTCAGTTTCTTATTTGGGGCTTTTTTACCAACTTTGGAAATGTTACTGAAAGTGATGTAATCAGGATAAGAAATGCAGATGGTTGGTTTTGGCTGGAAGAGGCAATGCATCTGATTATTCAGCTGTGTTTTTATGCACCAAGATGCAGTGTTGATTTACTTTTGACATCTTCCTGTTTAATAAGTTATGATAAAGTAAATCCGAGCTTACGTTATGCCAGAACCTGATGGTTTGAAAGAAAACAGGTGAAACTCATAATGAAAGTTTACTGAGCTTGCTGAAAAACATCTTTAAGACACTAACTCATGTCTTAATTCTTTTCATAGCAGGAAGCCAATTTGCCCCTGTTGATTGAGATAAAATTCCTTCTACATGCACAATGGAACTGCTAGTTACTCCTTGATAGGTGATTACTTTTTTTCTACCACAGAGCTGACTGGATCTTACTAGTTCGTCATCTTTGTAAGCAGAATAGTTTATAAAATGCGTTGAAGAAGAAAGATACTATCAGAAGTTCAAAGTATGTTTTCAAAAGCCAGTGTCAGTTCACTTAGAGTTTACCTATGATTGAATACAGAGATTAACGTTCAAAGAAAACCTTTTAATTTTTACTTCCATCACTGTATGCGTATAAGCCCCACAGAGTGACATGTTCTGTAGAATAATTCTGTATGTAACCAGGTGTACACTAGAGCTTATTTTGAAAGCTGCCAAGTGACAAGCACTTCTTCAGTGACAGATACCAACAAGGTCTCCCTACAGTCAGCTTTCATTTAACAGAGCACAACTACATGCAAGTTCTGCATTACCTTGAACCTCCCTCTCTCACACTGGTGGAATTGCAGTCCGTATTCTTCAATGTGTACAATTTGCTGCTGCTGTCCTATGCTTTCAGAGAGTCAGGGAAGAGATAATAAGCTACAGCTTCTTGGGAAATTTTTTTGAGGTCTCTCTTGAATAGGAGTATAAGCTTTAATAGTAAAAAGGCTTTAACAGATTTGACTCTACACTGAATATATGACAAAATGCCAGAATATAATCTTATAGTATGCTCCCTTTTAAGATTAAACACAACCTTTTCAATCCATTTACCATGGCTTTTTTTCCTCCCAGTAATAAATTAATCTATTAACAACTATTTAAATAATTATTACCTTAATAATAAATTAATTTCTATAATTAAAATCCATTTTCTAGGGTCCAATAACATTAGCAGCAGTGAGAGTGTAATCATTTCAGTATAGTCATATTAAAAAAATACATATTAAAAAAGGGAAATGATGGGGGAAAATGAGCTCTGTTAGCTGTAGTCTTTCTGACCTTGAATTTAGTTGAACTGTTCATAACAAAGTCTGAATATATGAGTTTGCTTTGAAAAACTAAGGAGTGTAACTGGCTGGGATGTCCTTTGATTAAATAGGTTGTCTTTTGCACCTTTCTGACAAAAAAAAAAAAACAAAAAAAAACAAAAAAAACCTAAAACAAAGCAGCTCTGTCACAAAGTCCTTATCTGTTCTGAACAGCAACAATGTGTGAAGCAGTGTGGAAGGGAGAAAAGCCATTTCTAAGGAGAAGCAGAACTGTAATGGGGAAAAGGAGCAAAAACAAAACCAAAGAGAAGACAGTACAACAAAAAAAAAAAAAAAAAAAAAAAAGGAGAGGGAAGATAGAAGGAAATAAAACATTATAGAGACTGGAAGGAATGGATTTAAATCAAGCAGATTACCATAAAGAATGGGCAGAAAGCCAGACAGGAACTTTGAAATACTCAAATTTTTCTTGAATAAGTTGCTGCTGATAAAAAAAACATGACTAGGGCAGAGAAATTAACCTTGGGAATATTATTTTAAGCACTTGTCAGTGTACTGGCATAAAGGTCTTTCCTGGTTGTCAAGTATCAGATGTTGAAAATGTTTGCCAAAATATTTGCAGAGTAAAATATATATAAAATAGGGACAAAAGTAGAGGTGTTACTCAGCTCTGTTAGAACACATCAGATGCGGTACTAAGTAATAAGGGGCGGGGTCTGTGTGGTGTGTGTGTGTGTTTCTGCTTGGCTGGGCTTTTGTGGTCTAAAGGCTACTTCTTCTACATCAGAATATATTTAACAAGCTTAAAACCACAATCAACAGATCAGCAAGCAGAGAGCCATAAAGGTGACCAGCACATGGGTCCAGTACGCAGTGCGGAGGAGAAGCACAGGTTGGGGTCTCGGACTTGTCTTGAACTGCAGCAAAAAGGAGCCCTGAGGACAGGAACCCCGTGGCCCTGCGCAGTGGTGGCCAGTCAGACTGTCTGTCTGATCCAGTGTCCTGATGATCACTGAAGAATTGTTTGCACAATAATGCTATTGACTGCCCAGATCTCATGGATTTTCTAGTAAGAACACTTGCTTTGAGGTGGTTAGTAACATGATCTCTCCTGTATCTCATATAATTGTGCCTAACTCCTAATTTGGGGTATAGCTGAGGTTATCTGTATTTGTAATTCCTGTGAAGTCAGGATCAAGCCTGCAAGGGAAGCTGCAAATCTAGCACTGAAGTCCAGGGATGTAACCCAAATTAAATCTTACTTAAGAAGCAAAGTTCTTTGTATCCAGCAGCTGCCATGCCTTAAACCCAGTAGTATACCTGAAGAGAAAT